TGATCGAAGCTTCTAGAAGAGCCCAACAACCCCGCCGCCGTATAGTGCAAACCGGCTCCCTGGCCAGCCACTGCGAACCCAGGCCTACCGCCGATTGGCTAGTTTTCGTCTGTCGTTCCATGCCCACCGTCGTTGCCGTTGCCGCGGTCCCGTAATATTTACGTGTCCCGTCGCCTTTCGATATCGGACGTATTGATGTAATATTATAATTTATAATATTCGATCACGGGATCAATACGGTGCAAGGCCTTTTCCATCGGTGGCATAAAGCCTTTATTATCGTGAGTGCGAGCGGGCGACTCGGTCGGTATTTTATAATTATTGTCAGTTATTGTTGACGTGCGCGGGTGCCTGAAAACAGTATCGGGCAAGCGTTGGAGGTTATGTCATAAGGACAGTCGAGTGGTCGACGGCAACCGGTAACGTGGTATCACGAAATTGATACGCAGTTTTTATCATTTACTGTCTGTAAACAAAACAATATTGTGATATCATTATTTTGCATTCTAGTGTATTATTATTGCCTTCGTGGCCTTTGTATTATTATAGCTTATATTATGTAGTTTCTCTCTAACAACGAACAATCGGTTCAATTATATTATATCCTGTATTATATAGTAGGTGGGCGCCTACATCCCCTTTTACATTTGTATGATATTCTTGTGTYATATATTTTATTATTATTATTTTATGATGGGTGGTGTAATATGGTAAAATACAGTTCACTTTTCGGTATTCAAAACTAACGGAGTTATTAATTATTATTTAAAGGAATTACACGACACAACAACTTTAGTACACTATCACATTTTGTATTTTAGTGTATTATTATTATTTAGTATATTTCATGTATTGGTTTTACAATTATGTTTATTTGTTTTTATTTTTATTTTCTCCCTCTAAACTTGCTCAAAAATATTAAGCGCCGCATCTTTTCTGAGAGGAAATGTTCTTGAGCTGGTACTTTAGACAGCTAATTTTTTGATTTTCGAAACGGTACTCAAAATAAAAGCGGTTAAAGGAGAAAAAACGTACGATTTTATAATATTAAATAATTACGGACGACGTTTTCTACTACAAATATTGCTTCAAATGAAAAATGACAAGAGATCTTTTTAGTTATATTTTGGATTTTGTTCCTTTCGGTTTAAAGTTCAGAAAATTTTAGCCATTTTTGAGTTATTTTTTGTTTCTGTTCTGTAATTTGTATAAACAAAACAAATATTAAAATTTAAATGACAAAGTAAGGATGCCATGTTCGGACCGACTTCGTGGATACGTAAGAAAATTTGGTAGTGATGTGTTTTCCACGGATGGTCAAATTTTGTTTTGTAAAATATGTGAGGTGAAAGTTGCCACTGATAAAAAAATTACAATTACTCAACATGTATCACGAGATAAGCACAAACAAAGATTACAACGAAAAATTTCAGGTACTAAAGTTCAAAATTTATTAACAGTACAAAAATCATCATTCTTTGAAGACTTAACTAATGCATTTCTATGTGCTAATATACCTATGTTTAAGTTGAATCAACCAACTTTTCGCAAATTTTTAGAACAATATAAAAATAATGAACTAATAAAAAAATATTAGATAAATCAACTTTAAGAAAAAATTATGTTTGTCAAATGTATGAAAACACACTTATAAAAATTAGAGGAACTTTATTAGTAGATACGCCCGGAAAAGCATTTTTACTAAAAAGTAATGTTTTAGAAAGAGCGAATCATAATATAAGCGCAAAATTTTTTGATAGATCTCTTTTAATTTTGTGGCCAACATGAATAAAACATGACATGGTATTACTTTTTTGAGTGAAGCAGCTCCATAGGTATATAGCCAAGGCTGGACAATCTTTTAGCTTATTGTACTATAAAATGATTTATGTTACTTGTTTGGCACATGGTTCACATCGAGTATTGGAAGAAATACGGGTCAAATTTTCCGAAGTGGATCAGTTTATTTAAAATGCAAAGAAAATTTTCTCAATTAATAAAAATTTGCTTAAACTTATTGGCAGACAACCGTCGATCATTTAAATTCCAAAAAATTAAAGAAATTCTTATTTTAAAATGCAATGCAAATGTAATTTAATTTTTAACTTATTTCTAATTATAGTAATTTTTTTTTTTTGTACATAGTAATGCAAATATATTTTTTTACTCATTTTTTAATTATAATTTTAATTTATTTAATAAATAATGCATTTTTTGAAAGGTCATTTTTTTATAGTTATAAGGCATTTTTTTGTATATTGAAGTAATTTAAATCCGAGCCCTAATAATAAGTAATAATAATCTATAATATATCCTAGGCAGATATACCGTCTCCGCTCAAAATCGTTTTTCGTATACAACGATATAATATCATTGGATTCACATTTAATTCCATCCATTACAGTAACCCACTTGTATACATCCAGCTTTTTATTTATATTCTTTAAATTTTGATAAATGGCCTGCTGGAAATAACTTAAGAAGTTTTGTTTGTTTCTTTATTAATTAAAATAAAAACTTTTATCCTAATTTAATTTGTTTAGTAAATTACATAGTCTGGTGACATGAATCAAATGAATCAAATGTTTTAATGTCATTAAAAATGTAAGAAAAACTTTTTTTTCTTAATAATAAAATTAAGTCTAATGTACGTGCTGATGCAATCACCATTGTACCTCGTTATAACCAGTGATTTTCAGGCAAAAATTTCATCAAAATTCTACCTTAACAAATAATTATAACGTTTTTTGTGTAATAATAAATTTATTATTGTCTCTTAATCTTGTATGCATAAACGTTTAGAAGTTTGTTTGTTTTTTTTTTTTAATAAATTATCAACAAAAAAGTTTTTAAAATGAATAACATTTTATACTTAGCCTTTGAAAAAAGTTGAAAAAAATATCATAAATTAAAATGTAAATTAAATATAAAAAAATCCAAATTTATCTGTGCTTATAGATTCTGGCTAAACTCGTGTTCAAAGATACTTTTAAAATTAATATTTTATCTTCATGAATCATAAATTTATGTGAATAGATTTGATTAACATTAATAGATATTTAACTGTAGTACAGCTAAAATTAATTTCATTCTTTACCTAACTCGTACTACTATATAATGTTTTATTTTTAAATCTGTAGTTAAATATTAGGTTAGCAATGATTTATCTGTAAATATTAAACTTTGAATTTGGTTTTTAAAAAATAACTTTATATCAAAATTATATTAATATCTAATAAAATTAATTGAATTGTGAATTCAAATAATACCAGGAGTATGTTTGAATGTTCATATACCCACAAGTTTTTGTTAACGTTTTTCTAAACAGGTAATATAATTTTTAGTCTAAAATTTTAATTTTAATTTTTTGAATTTTTCTTCATAATGTTTTTTTTTAATTCAATGTTTGGATAGATTTTTAAAGAAAACTTTTTAGGTAGGTGCAATTTTAGTTTTTCAGCAGATTGAGGAAGCAATTATTTTTGCAATAACGAATGTATATTTTTCACGTTGAATATTTTCTTTCATGTATATGTCATTGGGTTGGAAATTAAATGTGCAATCCATATTAAGTTTTCAAAAATACTGTAGTGTTCTATAGTAGTAATAATAATAATAATAATTATACAAATAATAATAACAGTGAGGAGTAGGATAAATATAAAAATCAAACGCGCACGATAATGGTTCTATTATGAGTTCTATTATTATGTCTCAAACTAAGTATAATATTAATTTATTTCTTAAACTTTGTTTATAGAAAAAAATGTATTTAACGTTCATTATTTTCTTCACATTTTTAACCTGATATTTTTTACATGTAACTTTTCCAGGGTATATTATCAGAAACCGATTCTTAAGTGTCAATAATTGTATTTTAGTGTTTACGTTTACGACATTATCAAAACAATTTTACCGTAAAATATAATATAGTTTCTAATGTAAACTTTTAATGTAATTATTGTAATTGTTTGCAAGGCCTAGTGATATTATTTTTACCATACCTATATTATATAATTACTGCCCGCAATAATTTTTGAACTAATTTAATCGTAGTTAATGTAAAGTGTAGCATTGTGAATTTATTTATATGTCTATCTTATTAATATTTACGTGTTTATTATTTACTCGTAACGACATGTTTTGTTATTGAGGTGGTAGAAGAAAATCATGAATAATTGCTTTTTGTCGAAATTATAATATTATTTTGTTGTTGTGCTGACGGATGCTGTGCAGATGTGTAGGGGGTGGAGGTATCGAGTTGAAACGTATTTTGGGCTTCTAAAAGGGACCGAAATAATTGATATTTATAAATTGCTCGGAGCTGAAAGCCATATTATGCCATAACATCCTGGTATGTCCTCTCATCCATTTGCTCTCGTTCGCTTGCGCCCTCTCTCCGGTCACCACATCCGACTCCTCTCACTCACTCTGCTTTGTCATACCTACCTACCATGAGTCAGCGGCAGTGGTTCGACCGCCACGCAGCTCACCACTTTCGCCACGCCGAGTACCCACCGTACACGCGTACATATTATACATATATATGTGTGTGGTATGGTGGTATGTGTCCCAAGCGCGTTCAATATGCATTGCCCGTAAAGTTATTAATACTAATTTGCTCTAATCCGTGACACATTGTAAGCCCCTCGTCCAGCTCTCCCGGGGGAGTGTCATGGCATCCTGAATCCGGATACTCCTCCCGGTTCTAGCGCCGGGCACTCCGTGTATTACATATATAGTAATAGTAATACGGCACTTGCGCGCGCAAACCCACGTGCCCCTTTCCCCCTCACAAAAACTACCCCTACTTACTAGAACGACGACCGAATTTCTCGACCACTCCACCACTCCTAACACTAAACACTCCCCCGCCCCACTCCCACCACTCTACCTTTTTCACCAACTCCAACGTACGCGTTTGTTGGAAGTGAATCTCGAGGGATCGGTGCAAAGTTCTAGCAACGGACCGAATTAAAATTTATCTTCACTTGTTTCAGGTTACTTTTGGCACATCACCGACATACACTATGACTCGAATTATGTAGCGACCGCCGATTACGCACAAAGTGAGTATTTAATAAGTTAGATCATAATATAGATATAAGTTTATTATTTTATCAGTATTTGTGTTCTAATCAAAAGCCCACAAGTAGACGATACTGATTAAACCTTGAGCGTCGTCAGATTATGAAAACTATTGGGAAATGCCAAATGCACGTCTTGTGATGGCAACAATTATTTTCCACACATATTACACGAGTTCTGAGTCTATCGATCGGTTTCTTATGATATGATTAAATCGGGTACCCTGGTGATGTCGTTCTAACACAAACCGAATATGAATTTCCCAACCGTGAGCCATCGGCTGAATTATAAACATTTTTATTCACCCCAGAAAAAAGTTTGCCACCGAAATATTGGACTAAACACGAATAGAATTTGTTTCGATTTTTTATACATGCACATTATGAGCGGATGACAAGTAAAATGTCCAGAAAAAAATCTCAAAATCCACGTGATTGTGGTTTTTGATGAAATCAAACCAAAACTGTGGTTAAAGACATACGTCTTTATATATATATATATATTTGAACGCACACACAAATATATTATATATATACATATACATATACAAACACACTGATTGAACGTTTTTCGGTGTAACTGGCATTGGTCGCTCTTAACCACCACCGCAACACTCAACCATACTCAGGTCATGGATTCGTTTCGTAAAGTTTTAACCACATTTAATTTTGAAACAACTAATTTTCAAAAGCAATTTGTGAGAGTTTGAATTGAGTTTTAATGATTTATAGCCGAAGTATAGTATGTTACTGCAGTTTTTAGATTTTTAGGTGTTATATAGTACTGTGGTACGAAATAATATCATTTTGTAGGAAATTTAATGTATTAGAATTTTGGTTTCATTGATCAATGATAATAATGTACGAATAAATAGTTTGAGATACGCTTTTCAATATAATTATAAGGTAATAAGTGAACAAAAACAAATATAGTTTTGAACATAAATTACGGTTATCTTTAAAATTTATTTTATACAAATAGTAAATATAAGTATAAATTATCCATAAGTGTATTTACTGTATTTACAAGTTTATATTATATTTAATAAATTTATCAAAAAATTATTCKTAGCCAAAGTCAGGGTTCTTTATTGGCCAAATTATAAAATGTGTAAGGAAAATTAGAAGGTGAAATTTGTTTAGTTGATGAGTAAGCTCCATAAACGTTGATATACAAACATAWGTTTCTTTAAAAACTCTATATTAAACGTTTGCCAGTGGCCTGTTAAACTGCTTAGACTAAGTTGACTAATACGAATGAAATGATACGAAAGGTAATTTATATTTAGTAGAAAATAAGCAAAATGCAAGACATTTCTTTGTAACGACTCAATAGTAGTACACGTATTACATAATACTGCATTGAAGCAGTATATTTATTTTAAATGAGCTAATAACATGAAATCACGTGTAATCATCTATAGTAATTCAATAAATTAAAAGGCTTTACAAAATATTTCAAGGAATTGTTTCCGAACTACCTCCGATACGAAGTTCATTTATAAAAAAAATATTAATTTATTAGAAAACTTTAAACATTTTTCTGTCATTATTTGTCAACAATTATAAGTTAAGTGCACATCATGGTGCAATAATTATTTTATTTTTCTTAAATATACATTTTAAATTATAATTTACCCTTCGTTATCATAGATAAAATATTAATATATACGTATCTGATATAACAATTTTTAGTTTACAATAATAATCCCATTTTTACATGCATTCATATTGAACGTTGTTTAATAACCGAACATGTACATCACAATGATAAATTGCCTGTTTTGTTTAAATAAACTAAAGCCAATTATCAATGACATTTTTGTATCATTAGTTTTCATATCACAAATCAAATTAATGAAAGCTAAATAAATTTTCACTTTATGATAACAAATGTTATTTAAATATTTTACAAACTTTAGTTGCCTACAATACAATAATAAATACACATAATATATGTCAAATTTTAAAATACTTGACATTCGAGATAACCCATTAGAATCTAATGATTAGATGAATAACTTTTTTCAATAAAATTTAAACTTTTCGAAATATTGTCACCTTGTATATAATTTTTGTGAGATATTCTTTTTTCATCTGTCGTTGTCTAACCTAAATGTTGCTTAGTAATAAAAATATGTTTTATTTGAATTTATCAAACGATTGAAAAAAATAATATTTTTATTTATTTATTTTTTTTTTTTTTCATTGGTCTTGAAATTTACAAAGAATTTCTCCTTCGACAACTATGGGCCATTAGCGTTGGATTAATTTAAATATCTAGAAAGAAAGAGAAAAAAAATTGTTAATTTTAATATACAAAATAAATATGTAAATTTTTGGACATTTTGTGTCTTATAATTATATACATGTCAAAATTGTTGTTGTTAACTTATAATAACTTTAATATTTGAGATTGTTTTAAGAAATGTATTGTTTTTGTTTCGTTTTCAGGATTTGGCCTTAGACTTTCTCTAATGTCGTGGTTTATGTTTAATTCTTCTCTGGTTTTTTGGAATATTTTTATTGATGATGATAAATATAGTAAAATAATATAATGTAAGGGTGATTTGAAAAAATAATGAACTAAAATACAATATTTTATTTCAAATTCGTTTTTATAATACTCAAACATTTCAAATTAAATAAAACCAATTTTTTTAATACACGAAAACAATCAATTTCATGTTTAGTATATGAAAAAATATGCGCAGTCAAGTTAAATAAAGCAATTTCTGCCTAATATGTATCATGTATAGATTAGTTTTCATAATAATATTATAATACGTGTTGTCAAATATACACTCATCGAATATTGGAATGGTTGTATCAAACATCAAAAATGTCAAAGGCTACTTTTAAATTTACATAAAATTACTATTACCAAAATGTTTCCAATATTTGAACTACCTATATATATATATATATTTATTTATCTGTACTATTACAATTCCTATCAAACAAAACATTCAGAAGAGACGATTTACAAACATTTGGGATTACTATACATACATCATTTAAGATAAAGAATTTACATGTAATAGTATAAAACGATGCGCCATTTTAGTCGTTCTTTTTTTTAGTTATATTTTTACATTATATACATATAATATACAACCAATAAACATTTCTCCGTAAACCAGAGTCATTATTGACTTTTAAAATATCGTGTATAAGCCATACCTTAAACTTTTGGTAGTGAAGAATAGTTTTTGTAACGTATTTATTGTGCTAAGAACTAGAAATAAATGTGTTAAACCTATGTTAAGTATCACGTTGTCACGTTCTATTCCCTAAAAAAACAGCGTTTTACTTACTAAAGACAAAAATATTCAAAGTTTTTTTGTGTTTCATATCACATTTAATTTTTAGCGACAAGCAATAAAACCATATTATTATCCATATAATGTTGGAAMTGTGTACAATATTTTAACACGAACAATTGAATCAGATGCTATATTATATTTTATTTTATATTTTATGTCTACACTTTCTGTGTCTATATATCTTCACGGTTGATACAAAACTGTTAACAAAAATAACTCTCATTGTATAGTAACTAATTCATGTAGGTATGCAACAAACGTTGTATGCGTTGTTCCACTGTATTTGATAAATTATATATACCTACCTTTATCAATAAGTTTATATTATTATCATTATAACTAACTGTTTTTAAATTTAAAGGAACGAAATGTTTAACATTCTATTTATTATTAAAACGCCAGTTTTGATTACAACAATTAATTTTTGTCATGATATAAAATAACTTTTCATCGAAGTTTTTTCTATTCCACAAATATTATTCCATTGCAAATATTTATTTAAGTAATTTAAGATATAAACTCATACAATATTTAATATACTTTCAAACCAGGAATGGTATTTAAAATAAATAAATGATTCCAAAAAGTCCCTGTGATTGGGTATAATTGTATAATTAGAATATGTAATTTCTATTAAAAGTGAAGATTTAATATAAATATTTATTTAATAATTATAAGTCATTATATTGTTTAAAATAGTAAAATCAAATGTAAAAAGTCAATACATATATTATTAGATATAAATCATAACATTACAATATTATATATGTTACAATCGTACAAGTAATCATCAATTGACTAGTTCAATATTTTAATTACCTATTCTTTAATATAAAAATTATTGATGATATATTACAAATATTGTTATTCAATGACGCCAAACAAATAATGATAAATTAACTTTCAGTGAAACGAATACTCCTAAGAAAAATAAATTTAAAATGTATACACAGCCAACGGGACCTTAAAAACAGGGCTTTAAGCCAAGAAAATAATTGCAAACATCGATACTTTTTCGTTGGTGAATTTAACAAAGATTTATCTCGGCAATGCATTTCATTTAACCTCGAAAGTATAATGAATAAGTACAATTTTTTTACTGTAAGTCTGCAACAGTAACTGTATTTTTGATTAACAGAGTTTGGTTGACAAACCATTGCGGTTATTTTATGTTTGTAAAACTTTGACGGTTTCTCTAAATTTACTGGAGCGTTCCCATGAACATGATGGTGTATAGTTTTTGAAACTTTTTGGTTTTAAATGACCGTATATAATAATATATTATGTAAACAGAATCGTTTAGTAAGTTTGAAAACCTTTAATTTATTGAAAGTGTATAATAATAAAATTCATATTATGCACAATCAATAAAATTGTTATCTATGCATTCATATACTATTTCTTTGAAGCTTTTGAAAAATTTTTCAACACTTGTTCGAAAGATATTTTGACGTCACACATATACAATATTATTCAACGAACATTTTTAATATATTTTTATGATATATTATGAATGTAACAAAAATAATTGACAAATGTATAGTTAACAAAATATTATATACAATAATATAAAATTGAAAACATTTTTATTTATTTATCTGTATTTTTAAAATTATTATGAATACTTTTAATTACAATGTTATTATTATTATTATTTTTTTTTTTTTTAAAGAATAAAATTCGTATTTATAGCTAATATTACATGTGTCAGTTATTGATGTTCAGCCTTCTGTGGTGTATCTTGATTGATATATGATTTTAAATGATATATACTAAAGAATCGCGAACTATTTGGTTTTTCAGGTTGTAAGCGGTCGGCGATTGATCAGGAACTGTTTATGGAACGGCCCAGTCTACCATCCGGTAATGGTAGACTGGGCGATTACGGGTGCGATTCGCCGTGGGCGCTGGTCCAGTCCGCTGTGAAAGCGATGAAAGAGAAGCATGGAGACAACATCGAATTCGTGCTGTGGTCCGGGTAAGGTGTTTTCTTTGTTATTCGTAGAGAATGAGGAAAACAATAATGACGATAGCATATAAAAATAATAATAATAAAAACAAAGCCATTCCCTTTATTCTTTTCCGGTCCATGCGGCCACGGGACAGTTGCGCGTATAATACATAGGTGTATATTTATAGGTACAACCCAAAGAGCAAAGGGTCACCAAACAGAAGCTTAGAGTGGTTTCTACCTTTATCTCGGTTCACTGCTACTGATTGGCAAATTAAAAACGCCCTGTAAAGTGTTTTAGTTATTGCAGTATAGTTTGTGGCAAGAAAAAAAAATTATAATAATACTTTGTTCGTTGACTTCATTTATTGTTTTTTTTTACGCTCTCTGTTAGTATTGATTAATCCGTTGACACTTCCTACATTATACGGTGACCATAATTATTATTTTGCATAATGCGACCAAGTCCTCTCTATGAGACTTTATACGAACTGCGTGAAAGTGACATTTTTTTATGACCCCACATTACGATTGGTAAATATTGTTATTGAAGATCGGTCAGTGATAAACGGAATTAGGCTTCGCGTACGTATTTAATAGACATATAATCTATGCTATGTTTTTCCATTTATATAAATTTCAAACAATTTTAATTTTGAAACCAAAGAGTAAAACAATATGTGAAATTGTTATTAATATTATTTACGATTTACAAGTATGATGTAGATACCTACGTAAGTTTTACAATCTTAGCGGAATCTATTCGTAGTAGTTGGTGGAATTGATGTACCTAAGTAAATATATATTTTTTTAAGAAACAATAAGCTTCGGTAGAATCAATAAATACCGTAACATTATACGTTTGCTTAATTTATACAACAACTAATAAACTATTTTGAAGCGTTCGATGTTGTATAGAAAATGCCATCCGTATGGTTTTTAATGTTAGCAACTCTTAACACATCAACTACGCACAATTCGTGCTATAAAATGCTTTGAATCTTTGAATGCTTACAATGTAACGCCGTGAACTTCTCGTCCAGTTGAAACTATAATAATAATAAAAAAAAATTTGCGTTACTATTTTTAATAAAAGTTCTTGCACAACTAGTAATCGTATAATGCATAAAAAACAAATAATAAAACATTGATTTTTTGTTTTTATACAATGATTTGTGCAAACAAAATCACTTGCATTCATGTATTATTTTTACAACGTTTTTATACTTTCTGTTTTTTCTTTTTTTTTTTCATACAGAATCGATGAGTATTGGTAAAATATTATTTCTACAAATTATTATGTTTTTCGAACGAGATGAGATGATCTTGTAAATTTAATTAGTTTTTTCCTTGAGGTATAGAGTGAATTACAGTATATAATATTTTAACAAGATTATGGAAAGATGAATATTAACTATAGTTAAAATAAATGAGTGCTTAATTTTAGACAGTGGGATATTTAAAAAAAAATACATAGTAATATTAATACGATGTATTGTTTTTATTTAATTAGTTGTACACACTCAATCTGATTTGAGCGGCACATTATATGATCTTATAGTAATTTTATATTGGGTATTATTTCACTGGTTCTTTCTACGTTTGTATTATGCCTAGAAAAATAACTCAGCTTTCTCGGCAGTCTGCTACAGCAAAACGGCTGCGACTTTTGCTCAAAAATGAAACAGCCGACGAATATATGCTTAAATTGGTTACTCAATGAGTAATCATTTAAAAAAACCAAGCTAGAGAATCAAGCATTTAACGTTTCCATCAACTAGCTCAACAAAATACACTATCAATAATGAATAGAACTTGCAGGCCATACATTTTTTTGAATTCTACCTTTGCTTATGATTGTAACCTTGACTATTCTGTGCTAAATGATATTGATTTTGGTAGAATAGACAAAATGTGCAACAAATGCTAAGCAAATAAATTAAAGGMTGAAACTCATGGACTATGTTGTACTAGTGGAAAAACAGTTGTACCTACAATTCCTAAACCGACATCAGTTCGGTCATCCACTGGAAGTTTTGAACATGACTACCTGAGTATTAAACGACGAATTAAACACAAATTTTGAATCAAATTATAGAGTTGGTATTTTTAACGGGAAACAAAGTGCACGGGGATCAACTAGTCTACTTATAAAGTTGAAATTTATTGAGGTATATTTATGTTTTTAATATGTTATGAAAAACATTTTTGAAACACATAGTAAATCAAGTTTTCAATCAATTTTATACACAATTTACAAAAATATAGACTTACTCTATATATTAATTCTAATATCATGACAGCTAAAATCTAAAAATCTTCATTTTGAACCCGAACAAATTAGAATAAACAACATTATAGTTTATTTTGCGATGATTCTATATAATAATTCTACATACAGTCAACAGTTTTGATTAATATGATATAATCCATAAATGTATGTCATTAGTTTTCTGTGGCATAAATACATTCAATGCGTCTCTAATATTTGCACTGAATGATTAAAATATATTATCATTACGGTTTATCAAAGTTATATTCAATTTGAAATATTTTATTAATAATGCTTTACCTTTTGAAATGTAATAAATATTAATCAATCGAAGTGAAATTATTGTATTATATTATAATACGATTGCTTATAATATTGACAATTTGGGATAAAAATTGATCTCATCGTTTCTAAACATTCTATTAAATCTCGGTAAGGTCAATAGTTGAATCAGCAATGTTGATACTTATTTATTTTGATCATACTATTTCTCAATAATATGTATAATATATAGAGAGAAATGTAAACGTAGCTCTATATTTACCTGTGTAACAAATGAAAACTACAGTCGTATAGAATGTAATTAATTATCTACAGTTATTATTATTTCATTATTTTTATGTATATTTTATTGATAAATACAATATTTGTATAAAATAATTAGTTTTAATAATAAAATTGAACTAATGTATTATAATAGTATCAACTTATAACCAATTTTAAATCCATGACAGTAATTATTAAGGTAGATATATCAGTGTAGTGATGGCGTGTTTTTCGTTTTAAAAATGCATAATATAGCTTTTCTGTTATTATTATTATTATTTAGCTTTTCGTTTTATCTAGATAAAAACGCGATTATCTTTTACCAGATGCTTTTAGATTTTTTTTATAGATAAATTCCTATTAATATAATCTTTTATCTTCATACAGAAAATATCCTTATCATCTATTCTCAAATAATGACACTCATAATGTGATTGGGTGCCAACACGAAACATATCACAAATTCTGATACGTATCGAGTGGAACAGTACCTACCTATTGTGCAGGCGTTTAGAGCGTATTGTTACAGACACACACGTCGCACATTGTTCTAATAATATTATATTGTACACCTGAACACAGTAGCTATATATACGTAGGTACCTACGTAGTGTTATTATATTTAGTGTTGCCATTCCTACACACGGACGAAGTAATTAGATTGAACGTACCATCGGAGTTTCACACACCACGGGATTATAATATACTCGGGTGCGTTTGAATACGTCGTATTCAACAACGTTATGTGCCCCACTATAATAATAACACTCCACCGTAAAGTTTACGGATGTACACATATTATTAATTTATTAACAAGAGCAAGATATATAATATACGGGAACGCGGTGACGGGTCGTGTGGTCGGCATAGCGTTGGAGCGGTGGAGAGGTAGGTAATCTTATATTACTCCTCGGGATACAGTGAATAGTGTCCACATGGGATAATAGTTCACGTACACAAAACGACGACCTTATGAGATCGCATCTAATGTAAAGGATTACATATCCAAGTATAGGATACGGGGTTTTGTACGTGTAATGGTATATACTATACGTATATATAAAGCTATTTACGAGAATTTATTTGGCTCGTGTCCATCTCGAGTCAACCGCGTCTCTATAGTAAAACTTATAATACGCGCTGGTCTCAACCGGTGACTATATTAAAAAACTTTTCTAGTATAGTGCATTTTCAATTAAAAGTCAAAATCGTCACATTGTTTATTCATAATAATATAGATTTGTATATTTTATCAAAAAGAGTTTATAATATTGTAACGAAAACATAATAATATATACACGGTGGTTATTGATTTATACGTGCTTAAAATTTTAGCATATAACTTTATTCAGTTAATAATAAATTGTATGTGGTATTTTTTATATACAATAAATGGGTAAAAATGAAGTAGGTAAATGAATTTACGTATCTAGAATACAAAACGAAACAAAAATAAAACAAAACAAAAATAAGTATAATTTAATAATTGATCATTGGTTTCGGTTACAATTACTTACGCATTATTTTTCGTTATATTTTTACTTATTCGTTTTAAATAATATAGGGAAGACTTTACTTTTAAGTATTTGTTTTTGTTTCTCTTAAATGTAGATGCCTCTGCGGAATAATATGACGTTTTCTGACTGACATCCGAGTCCGATTATTTCATGTAGTTTCGTTGGTATATTATGTTTTACTCTTTCTCCTTCATTTGATATGCCTTATAATACTTATAATATTAATATAAGGCTTATATCATCAGTTTTTTTATGGTAAAGGTAACTTCGAATGAAAGGCAATCTTTTGGTGGTAGATTTTTCATGAGCTGTTCGTGTTTAAAGTTGAGTGAAACTACTAAGTATATTATTATTTTGATTTTTTTTCAAAGTTCTAGATTGTGAGTATGGATTTGTGCTTTATTTTGATTTTTGATTATTATATTATATTAATTTGTTTTGACCAGTAATTTTGCAAAATATTCTTTATAATTAGTTATAGGTATATATTTGTGTTTATAATTTCATCATTGAGACTTTTTTCAGGAAAAAATCTATTAAAGTCTTTACAATATGTGATAAAAATAATATATTGAAAAACTTAATGGGTCCTATTATTTAGCAATGAAATACATTTAAATTGGTTTTTCTAGCGAGTACCTACACAAATAAATATATTATACGTATATTATACACTGTAAAGTTTATCATTA